GCCACGCCTGTTCGGTCGCCATGAGCAGCCGTATCCGTTCCCCTAGATCTACTCACCATGGCTGCGGGGCTAGAACAGAAGAGAAGGGGAGCGAGAAAGAAGAAGAGGAAGGGTAGCCGAAACTGCTCCGGCAGTGCTTTTCCTCACCGGCGCCGACGGCCAACGTAATCGCCGCCGCTGTCGCCTCTACGGCGAAGAGAGAGGAGGGGAGGCAAAAATGAGTTTAGGGTTCGGGGGAGGAGGCAGGCGCCGGTGGAGGCGGGGTTTTATTTCCCTATCTCTGCATGGCAAATTGTCGGATGAGATCCGACGATCACCGCTCGATGAGACCAAAAACGGCCCAAAGGGTAGCAACTTGCCAACCCGAGCCCAGTTGCGGCTTTGGGCGGGCGTGCATGCAAATGCCAGCGAGGCCGATCACAGAGCAGATTTACACATTGGGCCGTCAGCAGGAACAAGCGCAAGAATGGACCGCATCGCGCGAGCTAGGCCTTCGGGCTAGAATAACAGTAATAGTTTTTTGAATTTAGTTTTATTATTTTCAGAAGCAATTTTAGATGAATTTTAGTCAATTTTGAAGGTTTAAATCTCTGTCAAAATTTGAACCAACGGGATAATTTTTTCAGAGAGTAAATGAGTACAGTGAAATGCTTCTGAAAAGTAGATAATTTTTTTAGTTTCCGCTGCAAAGTTTAATGCTGATTATCTTCTAATTAAATTCGAACCAACAGGAGAATTTAATTTGAAGAGCAATTACTTTTAGCAAATTATGATTATATTTATCCTCTAATTAAATTTGAACAAATGAGAAAATTTAAATTAGAGGAGTAGTTCGATTTGTTTATGCTAAATTATGATATTGTTATTTTTCTGATCAACGTTGATGATAATAATGTTATAATGAGTTTAAGTTTGAAGTTTAAATCTCTGATAAATTTTACACCAATGTGGTTAATTTTTCAAAGAGTAAATAAGAGCCAAAGAAATGCTCCAGAACTAATAGAATATATCTCATGTTTTCGCTGCAATTATATTGATTATCTTCTAATTAAATTTGAACCAACGGAAGAATTTAATTTTGAAGAGTAGTTATATGTCTTTAAGTTAATTTATGAGTTTTATGCATTAATTCTATTTTCTACCCAATGGTGATGTAGAATTAATGCATAAGCACCTCATATGTTTTAACCGTCGAGATCACTCGGCTGTAAGTCAACAGGGCTGCAATGCTGGGGTATGTGAATGAATAGGCTTGAGTAAAGCCGATTCAGGACTGTTTTTGTTAGTTTATTAATTTTCTGATTATATTGGAACCAACGGAAAGATTTAATTGGAAAATAAAGTATAAGTGAATGTTTTATGTTAAGAGTTGCAATAAGTAACATGCATGTCTAATTTGACCAACGTTGGATTAAGTATGCATGTTTGTATATAGATTTATCTCGTATGGGGAGAAGTTTGGCATAGTACTTATGCTAGTCAATCCTGCATGGCGGGAGAAGTTTTGTGATGATTCACATGTTTTGTATCCCGTATAGCGAGAGAAGTTTGGGTAGCTCTTATGCTGTCCTAGTATTGATCGTGGCATAATAGAAATACATCGTCATGGTCAATACTAACCAAAAGATAAGAAAAGATGCAAGCATGACTTGCAAAAGTACTGCTAATGAAAGACCTCGTTGAGTTCTTGAAGTGAAATAAGGAAAGTGTACTACTAAACGGATCAAGAAATAACTTTGTTTACATGACATAATTATGTGAATGAAGTAAGTTATAAGTGTCTCCTCGTTCACAGGTTTTCTAAATAGTTCTCGAAATTATGGCAGTAAACTTCATGCCATATTTGGAGGGGGAGAACATTAAGATCAATTAAGAAAAATACTCTTCATTAGGAGTGAGATAAAGATCAATTAAGAAAGATACTCTTCATTAAGAGTGAGATAAAGATTAATTAAGATGAATGCGACGTTGGAGGAGTACAACGATCACAACAATGATGCCCCTGAGCAGAGAAATAGCTAAATTCCTATATCTTTTAAAGTTTCGATAGAAAGATAGCGTAGTCAGCCTCAAAGATGTTGAGGTGATGCTTAAAACGTCATATGGGATTTTAACAGATTAAATCCAAAATAAGATATTTGAAAATACATTATCTTTAGAAAAGATGGAAAGATCCGGGGGAGCATGGTATGTAGAGGTATGAAGAGACCTATGACTTGAAGAGAAGCGGGACTGCGTGTCCACTTCAGTGATTCAAAACAATGAATTTCTCGATACCTGTTGATGTTGTATGACTTATACAATACCTGTTGTTGGCTCTTCGAAGAAGATGAATAATATAAACAAGGATCTTATGATACAGGAGCCTATAGAATCAATTGTCTCTTGGCAATAAAGAGCAACAACAGCCCCACATAAAAGTGCCAGTAGCTGAGGCCCTAGAAGGTCTCAAAGAATTAGTAAATCAGTTTTCTGATGACTATGAAGTTTATGTTAGTAAAAAAAATTCAAATGGAGAGTGATCACACCTCATTTGAAGAAGCCATGAGAAGTGTTTACTCATTTGAATGGTAAGAAGCTATGGAAGTTAAAATGAATTCAATGAATACCAATGATGTTTAGGACTTAGAAGAAATTCCTAATGGAGCCAAAACAATAAGCTGTGAAAGGGTCTACAAGACAAAATGTGACTCCAAAGGGAATGTGAAAAGATATCAAGCATGATTTGTAGGAAAAGGCTTTACGCAAAGAGAATAAATAGATTATGATGAGAGTTTTCTCTCTAGTCTCATGTAAGGATTCTTTTAGAATTATAATGGTGTTATTGGCACATTACGATTTAGAGTTATATCAGATGGATGTAAAGACGGCATTCCTCAACTGGGATTTATATGAAAACGTTTACATGGCATAACCTAAAGGTTTTGTCATGGAAGAAAAAGAACGTATGAGATGCCGCCTGTAGAAATCCATTTATGGGTTAAAACAAGTCTCTAGACAGTAGTATTTGAAGTTGATGAAATGATAAAAAAGTTTGAGTTTAAAGAAAATAAGAAGGACAATAGCGTTTATGCGAAGTTCTAGAATGGAAAATTCTTTTTTCACATCCTGTGTATAGATGACATCCTACTTACTAGTAGTTATGTTAAGCTGCCATTGGAGAAAAAGAAGTATTTGTCCTCAAGTTTCAATGTGAATGATCTTGGTAAAGCATCATTGGTTCTAGGAATTAAAATTCACCGAGATAGAAGAAAATAGGGTATTAGGACTATCGCAAAGACATACTTAGAAAAGATTTTAAAGAAATAAAGTATGCATGCGAGTAAACCTACGCTTGCTCCTACAGTCAAGGGTAATAGATTTGAGAACTTTAAGTGTTCTAGGAACCGATATGAGATCGATCAAATGAACATGGTTACATATGCTTCAACTGTTGGAAGCTTGATGAGTGTACATGTACAAGTAAGAACTTACCCTGATGTAGTTTATGTATCCGGGATATTTTGGCATAAGTCCAGTCCAGATATAGATCACTGAAATGGAGTTGAGAATGTCTTGCAATTTTGCAAAGTATCATAGGCCTCATGCTGAGTAAGAAATAACAAGTACTCTTAAATACTTGAGGGTACAAATGTTATGTCTTGGTGAGATATGTAGTAAAATTTATAGTAGTTACAAACACTCGTAGTTGGAGTATTATTGTGGAAAAGCTCCAAAGAAATAGTTGTGGTGTCATTAGTGATGCATACCATAGTATAGCTTGACATGAGGCTTAAGGAACAGGGAAAAGGAGGTTAAGGGAATTAGTACCCGGATTTAACAATGATAGACAACAGCAATAGCCATTTAAAGTAAGTTAACTCCTAAGACAACAGGTTAAGTGTGCCGCCAAATACATTGACACTAAGTTATATGTTGTAAAGGAGAAAATCCAGAATCATTTGAAAGCATTGAGCATATAAGTACTGAGTAAGTACTCGTGGATCCGCTTATCAAAGGCTTACCACCCAGTGCGTTCAGAGAACACACAGTCGATATGAGTTTACGGGAAAGTCTATGATTTTTGGATACTAAGGGCCTAGTTGAGTTTCTGCTTCAAAACAGAGAGGTGCATTGTAGCTGTTAAATCTAATGGCAACTAACCGTGATGATGAGGCACGCTCTATGCACTGATCTGTGATGGAATGGGAAAAAGAAAAAGGAAGTTAAGTTTAAGTCATAAGGTGAGGTCAAGGGGAAGAATGTTAGGTTGATCTCCACCAATTGACCCTGGACCCTTGATCTGCGTCCTGATCGGGGGCGCTCAGCCTTTCTACTAACTGATAGGCCCCTGTCGCGCAGCGCAATAAATAGGCGGTGGGGGCTGGGGCTTGAGATACGAGGTTCACCACAGCCGCCAGCGCCCCACCATGTCATAGCCTTAGTCCGATCTAGAGGGGGCGCGTTGTAAGCGACGGGAAGCGCCATCGCCTTCACCGCCGCCACTAGACCGCGCCTACACGTCGCTGCTACCTCGTCGGCGGCGCCATGGCCACGACTAGCCTCTTGATAAGGTACATTAACAAGTCATTTATCTAAGTTGAGTTTTATCCGCTGGATCTGCACCTAGAGGTTCTATCACTTCTATCAAGACGTAGTTACTGCATAAGAAAAGTGCATACTGCACACTACCTCCAAGCCAGATACATCACTTGAACCAAAATCCAATAATAGCAGTATTCCATAGATGTAGCTTCTACATCCACATCACTAACCAAAGTCCTGCTAAACTTATGATGATAAGAACAAGATCTGGAAAAGGAGCCATGCCCCCACTGCAATAATTTAGGACCAAATATTTAAGAATTCCAAAAGACAGTAACATAAATAAAGTTGAAATGCTAAACTGAAAGGAGTTATATATCTATAAAGACAAAAAAATATCATTTTCTTCTCTAGTTCTCCGTGTCTTGTACCCCTTCTTTGCCACCCTTCTTTGCTCAACCTAACACCTCCTTTCCTCAAATGTCGTCACCATCGCCAATATCATTGGGCTCTGGTTGTGAGTAGTTTAAATCAGGTGCCATTGATGAATATGCAAAAAACAGATTTTGCAATGTGGCCTTCACCATTTCAGTGTATGCTGGACCTTTATCACCAAAACCAGCGTCCAAACGAAATGATACAAAACTGAGCTTAAACCTAGGATCTAGAACTACTAGAACACATATCTGCAACAAGCATATGTCCCAGTATTTCTGAAACTTCAGTTTCATTTTGGTCGCCATAACTGCAATGGAAATATCTATATTTGATTCCAAAGTTTCTATTTTCCCTTTGACTTCCCATAGGACATAGAAACAGTGGTTTGCTGTTGGGTATAATGTACCAAAAACTACATTTGTAGCATCATAGAAGGGTTTGAACACATTGCAAAGTAGATCTACCATGTCCAATCTATATTAGAAGGCTTGTCCATGTAATTAGGATCTTATGACTCCATAACATTAAAGACTGCCATATACTCTATTGTAGACTTCAGCATTAAATAAGTTAAGTTCCACTGAGTTGGAACATCAAGAGACGGTCTCTTCTCACAGGATATACCTAATTGTACAATGATTTCCTCGAAACGCTGTTTATGGGCTTGTGAGCTTCTAATGTACTTGGCACTATCTCGAATACGGTTAGTAGCACCATCTATCACCTTAAATCCCTCCTTGACAATAAGGTTCAACACATGCGCTACACAACGCATATGTAGCAGATCACCATTTCCAAGCATAAGGTGTCTTTCTAAAAGATTTTTCCTTAAGGAACCAACCATGTTGTTGTTGTTCTTTGCATTATCTAATGTGATGCTAAATACCTTATGCTCTAACTTCCATTCTGGCAAACACTTCAACAATGCATTAAACAAAGTAAAACCATCATGGGGCGAAGATACAAGACCAAAACCTATTATTCTCTTCTGCAACATCCAGTCATTATCAATGAAGTGGCAAGTAATGCACAAGTAACATAGGTTCTAATTTGAAGTCCACAGATCAGTAGTTAGACAACCCCTTGAATTTGATTTTTTTATAGTTTCCCGAAGGGCTAATCTTTGATCCTCATATGAGCTCATAATATTCTCAGCAACTGTAGTTCTAGACACTATGGTAAACCAAGGATTAAGGTAGCAATAAATTTCTAAAACGGTGCATGGTCAACTAAACTAAAGGGCAGCACCTGCAATACGATAAAGTTGACCATGGCTTTACGTGAGACCTCTTGGTCAAACTTCCAATTCTTCAGAGCTAGTGAATCAGGGGATAGTCCCGTGTTCATGTTTTCAACCAACTGGTTCATTCTAGTCCTTTCTTTGCACACTTTCAAATGCCTGCGACAAGCACTTCTACCATTATCTCGAGTAGCAGACAAGAGCTCCAAACAATGAATACATTTAGCTTGTACTACTAGATTCCCCTCATAAATAGGCTCAGATTCTTTCCACACATCAGATCTAAGTTTACGTCTCTTAATTGGCCTTGATGCATCTATACAATAAGTATGTAAGTATTGATTAGTACAAGCATTTACTAAAGTATACATAGTCAGTAACTAAAGGCATCTCATGCAGCAAGAAAATTCATCTAAAGGACCGAGACAGTAGAAACAGGACCCTAACCAAGACAGAACAAATCAACAAAGTCAAGACAACAAGAAAATTAAGACATAAACTGGTTGCTTCAATATGCAGGAAGTTAAATCTATCCTGGGCCAAGATCAGGAGAAATAACCATTCTTGTATCATCAGATGAAGACGAAGATGATGATCTTACAGATAGTACCGGAGACTGGCTCATCCTTGGTGACTGTAGCATTCTATTAAGTATCGGAGATCTCACATAATGCACACATGAAGCAGATGACTTCCTCTGCATTCCTTCTGAATGATTTGAAGCATTAACAACATATGACTTCTGTTTCGACAGCAAGGACTTGATCCTATCCACGCTCCTTGATGCTGCATCTTTGTCAAGATTAGGAGAAACATCCGTTCTTGTATCATCGGGTAAGGTTGAAGATGACAATCCTGCATATGGTGACCTCTGGTGTTTGGCTCTGGAGTGGCGCATCCTTGGCGATGCTAGGATCCTATTCAGTAGCGGGGACCTCACAAATTGCACGTTTGAAGCAGATGACTTCCTCCACTTCTCTGTTGGAGGCTTTGGAGCATTAACAGCAGATGACTTCCGTTTCACTAGCAATGACTTCTTCACGTTCATGCTCCTTGAAGTTGTATGCTTACTCCTTTGTTGATCTGCTTCTTGACCACTCAATTCTTCTGGCGCAAGCTCAGATGGCAGGGTTGCCATGTCCACACCAACACATCTAGATAGAATACAATAACATGGTAAACTGAGGACAACCAAATGGTGGCAACAAAATGTGGACTACAGTAAAATTAGATATTTATAGTAGACGATTTAAAAGATCATATTTAAAGATTTCTAGACAATAATTAATCCCGTTTTTAGTTTGTGCTCATGCTCAAAATTGGTTCGGTCCAATTTTTATATGAACACTATATTCTGGTGATTAATATGAACTCAACATAGGACTGTGGAGTATGTATAATTCCTTCAGGGTCCTAAAACACAAATGCAACTAAAAACACTCTGCTGAAAGCATCCTTTGCACTATGAGTGTCAACTCTACAATCTGCTCCACTCCGTATATCAGTTCAAGAGAGAACCGTAGAGGTAAACAACCAAAACCAAAGGGAACCGAGCAAAATCCTTACCCATATTTATCTGTCTGTAAGAAATTGCAGGACGACGAAGCCACACCCGAGATCTGGCGCCCCAATCCCTCAGAAGCCGACGCTAGGATCTTGGAGGCTTCATGGCCCCCGTCCTCTCCTGCCTCCTCTTGCTCCACCATGGAGGAGTGCGAGTCGAGGGCTAGGTTTCTGCCGCCTGCCACAGCCGGAATCGACATTCCCATCTGCGCCCAGGGCCAGGACGAGCCAGAAGGGCGAGCAGAGGAGGGTGATGCCCGACGCCACCGTACCGTGACGGCGCGATAGCGGTAGGGTTTAGGAGATGCAGTTGTTGCGGGTCTTGCGGGTTCTTGCGAGCTATGTCTCTTGCCCAACGGGCTTGGCGGGTTCAAAGACGTTGGGCCACAAAAAATTTGTAGCTGGGCCACTACAGCCACGAAGGGAAACTTTGCGGGGCGAGTGTGCGGGTCTCATTAAGAGCCCGCCCCGCCTGCAACGTGACCCACAGGCTAGCAAAGTGCCAAGCATAAAACTCGCACTATTTTCCTGCAAATTATTAAGCTAGTGTTTCTTGCGTTTGAACTGCTTAGCAAGATAGCAAATCAAGGACAAGAAATAACTAACTAATTTGCCTTTGTATGGTTTTGTTTTTCTTCTTTCTGGAAATCAAACAATATGTCTTTGTGAATAAAATTTACAACTTTTGTGAGAATTTTTAGGGCGAAGTGAGTAGTCACAGTGATTTCTAAACGGGGATTGACTTTATCTAGGGACCAATTTTATGTAAACAATATCTGCTATTACATAGACTATGGTGCAGTCTGCTAAAAATTCAGATCAACCCTTTTATGCACCATCGTCTATGTACAAGGTCAATCTCTGTTTAGCAACAACTAGTAACTAGTAGCGTTTTGGATACCATTAATACCGCGCTAAAAATTCTCTTTGTAATATCTGTCTCTGTTTAACAGAGATCAACTTTTGTTAATACCTTGCTGCAGTCTGCAGGATAGCTTGATCTCAATTTTGATCAGGTAAGCAGCCTCGCTGAGATGAGAATGAGATGGCAGGCTTTTTTGGTGTAGGCCTTCTTGGGCCAGGGCTTCATCCCAGGGTCGTCAGTTAAGTTGGACCCAGCCCAAACATTTCAACACTTACGGCCCATTGCTGGGGCAGTAAGCATTCCATTCAGGAATCCATTCATCTCCGAACCCCACGAAGACAGACGCGCAGTCCAAACCCTAAACCCCCACCGCCGCTTCTTCCATCGCTGCGCTGTCGTCGGGGAGACGCCGAGGCGGCGATGGCGAAGAAGCTGGGGAAGAAGGCGCGCAAGTTCGCGCGCAAGAACCTGCAGTCCGCCGCCAAGCGCAACCGCAAGATCCGCAACCAGTTCAACCACCGCCGCGGACCCCGCAGAGGCGAGTCTCTGCCCCCCACGCTTCTCACCTGCGCTTGCTTGTTTGGCTGTGCGTGCGAGACTGCAAGGGGGTCTAATTGATAGCTTGCTCGAGTTGGTTTCAGGTGGGAGAGCCGGCCGGGAGGATGGAGACGAGGACGTGCCGCAGCGGGTCCACGATTCCACCATGTAATTCATCAATCTTCTCTTACCACAATGCTCTGCCTGAGTAATTTGGCTCGTTGGAATGCTCTGTTCTTATATTGTAGTCCACAGTTGGGTGCCTAGTGGTTTTGCTTGGCAAGTTCACCTGACGTGGTTGCAAAGATTTATTATTTCCCTTTCTTCTTGTTGACTAAACACCTGCTATGCTGCAATAACATAAGTAACAATTTAGATGTTCATGATTTGTCCCGGCTTCTCTGCCTTCAGCTGTCTGGAACCAACCTAGTTTGTTAATAACCAGGAGAATGATTTGCACTAATTCAGCCGCCATATTCCTTCCTCTATTTAACATTTCAAATAACTAAGCTCAAAATGCTTTTCCTGTAGGGTCACCAATGATGAAGATGCTACTTTGATCCATGGCTTGGAGTTTCCAGATGATGATGCTGAACTAGATGCTGATCTGTCTGACAGTGATGGTTATCTATCTGAGGTATGTTTGTTTGTCCTGTTCACATCCTTATACCAAGCTTACGAACAATGATGCGCCCTACGAGTTTTAGCATCCCCACACTGCAACAGCATCTATTGTTCCATTGTTGGAATGTTTTGCTTGGAAGAGTTTATGCATGTATCAGTACATCACAGCTGGGTCACTACTTGCTTTTATAACCAACTGCTTAATTTGTGATATGCAGGATCCTGGATGTCCATACTATTCTGACAGCGAGGATGAGAAAGCTGATAAAGGTTAGTGTGTGTTGTTGTAACACTAATTTAGCTTGACCTGTGCTTGAGTACTAGTTTCTAAATATTGCAATGTTTTGTGTAGATTGTATCTTGGAAGATGGTTTGGACAGACAGAACGATGACATGAATCGGGATATCAAAAAGCAAAAGAAAAAGTTGAAGAAGTTGCTGGATAAGGTTGAACTTCCGTTCATCAAAAGAGCTGAGCATGCTAATTTTAAATTCTATCAACGTTCTTACAATTGCAGGCTGTATGCTTCAGGATATCTTGCTTCGTTGCAGCTCAATAGTTTCTTTTTGCCGCCATAGAAACCAATTCAGAACTACTATTTAGCGGGTCTTATATTTTGTATGCCGTTTTCTTTACATACAGGTTTTCAGCATACAAACTCTATCATATAAATGATAATGGGGACTGGAAGAAAATGCGTGCACAGAAAAATGCTGGCAAAATTTCTGTAGGCTATAGCTAATAGAGTTATTTGTACCCTAGTATGTAACTGTATACTTTATGCTCAATTGATTGGGTAAGCTAATTTTTACATTACATCAGTTCTGCTCTGAACTTCTGGACCTGTTCATTTAGTAAACTAGTAATTGAAGTGTATTCAGTGCATCTATTCTTAGATACAGTTTATGGTTGTAGTGATGTAGGGATTATGCACTAATTCGAGTGAGATTTTTATGTTACAACCTATTCAAGATGCTTTGAATTACGTGCTACTGTCAAATAAGAAACAACTATGCAATGTCAGTACAACGTCAACTGGAATTCTAGGATCGTGATGTACATTGCTTATAGTGATTTCAATATGGATTTAAGTATTTGTCTTGTTTGTAGGACCCTGAATTTGCAAATTTCCTTGAAAAATGGCAGTCGGAGTTGGAGAGCTACAGAAGTAAAGAAGTAAGTATTGGTAGCTGTTCCTTTAACTTCTACGAAATGCAGATATACTTTTTGCATGTTCTGTTTACATTGTTGTTTCTAAATAAACCTGATCTCACTAGTTTTTTTTTTTTTTTTTTTTGCGAATCCTTTTAAATTTCCAATAGGACTCTGATGAAGATGGAATGGATTCTATGGATGATGATGATGACTCCAATGATGGAAATTCCCCAAATGCTAAGGTCCTTACAAGCAAGACTATAAGTGAATGGTGCCAGTTAGTGTCAAAGGATCCTAAATCACCTGCCTTGCGTAATTTACTAAATGCTTTTCGGGATGCTTGTCGATATGGTGTTCACTCTGATGGCCCCTCGATGCAGAGATTTCAAAATGCCAGGGTGTTTTATCAAATAATAACATTTGTCCTTTCTGAGTCGGACAATGTTTTCCGTTCTCTTTGGAAATTCAAGATGATGCTCACAAAGGAAAAATTATGAATCTGAGAGAAATTCAAAGAAATGGCAAACTGTTGATCCTCTCATAAAGTCCTACTTACGGAATTCTCTTGATCTGCTTAGTCAACTTACTGACAACAAAATACTTGCCTTTGTTTTGACTCGGCTGAGAGCATCAGTGGTTCTTTTTTCTGCATATCCATCAACATCAAGTAGGCTTGTCAAGGTACTGCCATCTTTTGATGATATTACTTGCTAAGAGTGTAATTCAGTTTTGCATATATTACGAAGGTAATTCATGTCTAAATCTAGTCGAGGCAACCATATTGTTGTTATGAAACGAATTCATGTCTTAACAAAGGTAATATGTTTATTTTAGATATACCCTTAAATTAGGGATCTTGGAGTTAGGATGTGGAGAAACATGGTTCTATTTCTGGCAAAAACTCTATTACATGAAAATATGAAATTGTGATTGTATGGTGGCAATAGGCTTGAATGCATCAGCTTAGATTGTTTTCTAGTATATGTTTGGAAGGAATGCTATTTCTTTTTGCTTGGGCCTGTTGTTTGCTAGATAGACCCTTATTATTATACGAAAATTGTGATAGTATGATGGTAATAACCTAATAGGCATCCTTGAGTTTTAGTCATCTGTTTCTGATATACAATCTTATAAACATTTAGAAGGAATATTCTTTCAAAACCTTATACGGTTATTATTTGTATATATATTAATTTGACGGCTCTCTGAAGAATTATACTACAATGTTCGGTATCTGGGGATATTAATACATATCTGATTGGTCATGAATTCTTGGTGCTTATGGTTCAAAAATTCACATGGTGTTCAATTACTATGCAACAAATATTTTGTCAAATTAATTTTCATTTTTTCACTGTGATTTTGACTTGTTATATATGCTTCAAACACTGCAGATTTTATTTCGCTTGTGGGCAAGTGGTGATCAGAGCTTGTCTCTGTCAGCATTTCTTATGATCCGAGAAGTAGCTTCACTGTTACCTGACTGTTTGGATCTCTGTTTAACTAAATCCTACAATACATACCTTGCCAGTACCAAGCTTGTGAATGACAGAAACACAAAGCATATTTATTTTCTGATTGACTGTCTGGTAGAGCTGTATTCTCTTGATGTTCAGAAATCGTATGAGAGGGCAGTAACCTCCGTGGAGCAACTGAATGCTATTCTTAGACAGGCTTCTAAAACCAAGGAAAAGGTATGCCACAAGGCTTATATCAGAACATGCATGTGCACGTAGTTTAACTCTAGATCTGGGTGTGAAGTTTCACTGTATCCTTCCCATGCAGTGTGACAGTGTCATGGGGCTTATTAGGTATATACTCCCTCTGTCCCTAAATGTTTGTCGCCACCATTTGCGTGCCGATAACTTTGACTCGATTTATAGAAAATACGTGCAACATTTCTATCTCCAAATAAATTTATTAAAAAAATTAGATCCAAATATCTATCCAATGATACTAATTATGTATCATAAATATTAATATTTTTTAACATATATTTAGTCAAAGTTGTTTCTCAGGAAGCGAAAACGACAGACATTTAGGGACCTCCGAGTATAGTATATCCTCTCAGGCAGATTCTTGGGGCCTTCTTGAGTATTCTTAGGTCTTTTTTAGGTATTGCGGAGACTGGGTCCCATGCATCCAAGTAGGGCCCAAGAATGTGTATGGATGCCAGTTATATTAACACTTTCTGATCTATTAAGCCAACATGGATTCCATCTAGTCCAATAAGACTGGGCATTATTTTATTCTTTCCTGTCTGGAGAGGTTGAAGAGGATTTTTCGTTACATGCTCAAAATGATGGGTTAGAGTTCCCATGCTGCAACATATTTGTTATGTTGTCCTTGGCACAGCTTTTTTGGCTGTTGACAGTCTATCACGTTAATGGAGTTTTCTCTGTAAGCCTATCTAATGATGATCTGTTGTGATAGTATAAGAAGATCCTTGTATTGATATACGTGCCCAAACGAAAAGAGAGAAAATTCTACCTGTGCATGCTGAGGTTTAGCCTCATGATGATGTCTTCTATATTTTCTTTTGGTAGTTTACATGAACGATTGTTTCCTTGCTTGTGTCTGCAGGAAGATCTCAGAAAGATAGATAACTGGCAATATATTAATTGTGTCAACCTATGGGTTCGGTTTCTGTGTTGTCACTACAAGGATTACAATCTCCATCCCTTATTTTCTGAAGTTCTTCAAGTAATAAGAGGAGTGGCTCACTTATTCCGAGGCACAAGGTACTTACCGTTGAGACTGAGGCTTGTGCAGATGCTGAACGAGCTTTCCTCCTGCAGTCAGATGTTCTATCCAATTCCATCGTTGCTATTTGACTGCCTAGAATTCAGAGAAGTCTCTCAGAAAGAACAAACACAAAGAACAAAGATCAACTTCTCATCGCTGTTGAAGGTATGCCACTTTTACTGGAAACAATCTGGGTGATGATAACAGTTAGAGCATTTAATATTTTATTATGTCTATTCTGAAATCACGAAAAGTTCATATTACTACCTTATCAAGTAGATATGCAATCTTTTCCATTCCCTGTGAATTACAACTGCACTAATATGATGAAGTTTGTTTATGCTGAGAATGGTTTAGATTAACTGCTGTTTCTTCACATTCAGGTGCCAAAGAACCTGCTGAAATCAAGGGATTTCCAAGAGGAGTGCGTTCTTTCAGCGATTCAGGTTCTATCAGCACATTTTGCCCAGTGGAGCTACCATGTTTCCTTCCCAGAAGTAGCCACCATTCCTCTTTTCCTCTTGAAAAAGCTACACGAGCAGACAACAATTGAACCACTTCACCGTCCTATTAAGCGATTAATAGACCAGGTGAACACACAATCTAAAATTCCTTGTGTCTGTCAGCATCCTTGCAAGATCTGTTGAACATCGCGTTGTTACTCTGCAAAGACCTCCCATTGCATGGGATCGTTCAAAATACTTGTCATGAACATTGAATGTGAATATATGCAACATTGCTTTCTGTCTTTCTATTTTTATGACTTTGGTGGAAGAAAAGTATATCCTTCTATTCGAGTGAATTGCACATCCGTTTCATCTGCAGTACTTCTGATGGCTGCTTCAACTGCTGAAATGACAGGTGACTGAGAACAAGGATTTTATTGAAAGGAAAAGAGAGGTGGTATCCTTCTCACCAAATGACAAGGCATCAGTTGATAGCTTCCTTCAGGTAGGATTTGCCCAGTCGATGCAATGTTCCTCCTTTGTAGTCAAAATTGCTTCACGTCTGCTATTCCATATTTCAACCAGCTGAGTTTTCTGAAAAGCATATTATTGTTGAATGCAGGAGGAGAAAGTCAGCAGAAACACTTCATTCACTCGATTTTATGCATCAGTAGCTGAAAACTGTCAACCAAAAGGTAATATTGTACAGTACTTAATAAACAGCATCACCACACTTCTTATTTACCAAGCCATTGACACTGTTGCTCGGATGCAGGGAGAAAAACACTTTAAAATGCCAAGGGAATTTCTGAGAGCCATCTGGAATTGGTTGGCCTCCAAGTGAGGGCCACGAAGAATCACTTCAATGTAGAACATGTGATTATTGACCTTGGCATTTTAGTGCAGATATATGGTGATATATGCTGATGCGGCAAATGCATAACCTCCGCTGATGCTGCTACCCAGTGAGGCAGTGATCATATGAGGCCTCGTGCATTGCATGCTCAGCAATTTTGTGCGATTGTAGCTTTGCGGCGTTGTACACTACCTTAATTCTAAGTGAGTTGTCAAGTGATGAATGGAATTTGATGCTGCTTGATCTGAGATGAGGGTTTAATTATTATTATATGTGTCCATACTGTTGACTGTTGTCATTGCACACAACGGTCATGCAGCTTTCTCGGAAACGCTCCACCCTTTTTGGGCTTGCTGTACCCCAAAAGAGGCCGTCTTGCTGGCCCATATATAAGATGTTGCGGCTGTTTTTCCTGCCAAACGTTTCATACACATTAAAATTTACTAGCAAGACTCAAAGAGGCCGTGCATTTCTCGTGTTTTATTAACCAACGTTGATTGGTTTGAGGGCACATTTCTTTACATTTTGCTATTTTTAACTCTCTTGTGTGCCAGAATCTCAGACCACAATAGCTTATGGGTTTTTGGCACCATGTCATAAACTCTATGATCTTTATGGAAAATAAATAACGATATACATTTCTCAAAACAAACAAATGAAGGTAATATCTCTAGGTACACATAAACATCAAAATGAAAAAAAAAATCTGATAATTAAAAATAAAATACCTCACAAGAAGAGCAGAAAAAAAAATCTATGGTTCTCCATATATAGGGAAAATGATGAAGCTATTTAGCTTTCAACGTCAACCCATTGACAATGTGCTCGAAATGGTTCGCGCTGCACGGGATCCTCAGCACGCCGGGCTGGCCATGCCCAAACTGCTGCTCTGTCATCTCTAGCAATGCTGCCATACACGGCTCTCTTAGCATATGCACTGGAACCAAGATCCTCTGGCCCTGTTCGTCATCTTCCCCATCGACTAGGATCATAGGAACATACCCTTTCAGGACCTTCCCAGTGTCACCACCAGTGACACAGGCATGCCACGTGGCGCTGGTGATGGCCTTGGCGCCTCCTTGCTTCCTTGATCTCAAGATGGCCATCTTGCTATATTTTGATGCTGGAGAATAATATAGAGTGTATTACAATGTATATTTATATAAATTTATATGTGGTGTTGGATGATAGATGGTGATGGAGTTTCCTGTTATGTATAGTATAGGCTTGGTATATATGTAGAAAGAATTGGTATGGATAGATGGTTTGGTACTGCACAATACAATGGACCTTATATAGCTAGCGAGCCTTTGCAGTTGCAATCATGGGAGTGGGAGGGACTGGTTTGTGAATTGTGAGCAAGGACTCACGAACAAGTACAAACGGTACGTGCAGTACATGACAGGTTGATTATATTATGCATTAGAAAAGTTAGATGGATTTTACGGTGTGGTGATGTTGACATGCATTGCAGACTTACTGTGATGTGGTGATTAGAAGGGGAAGACTTAGTTTAACGAGCCTGGTCTTACTGCGTATGCTGGTAAGCGGCACGTTAAGCTTGTTAATTGCATGGCAAAATATTAATTAACCAACCATTGCTATCACGAACGAACAAAGAACTCCCAAGATCAAGTCGAAGCAGGAAATCCCAATAACATATAACGTACTTTTACCGTACCTAATAGTCTTCGTGAAAGTAGGGGCGTGTTTTAGCGTGTACCAAATGGACCCTTCGGGATGAGTGCTCAGGTAGAGTCATGTGCACGTTCGCGTGTGAGGTCAAATATACTCCCTTTGGAAAAGCACGTATTTCATGTTATTTTTAAGGCGAAATAGCCATATTTATCCTTAAACTTTTCGTCAAAGCTCAAATTCATCCTTCAACTATTAAAATGGTCGGTTTAGTCCTCGAATTTGCAATTTCAGTCCGATTTCATCCTCTGTCTGACGCCGTCTTCCACACGATAGCTCACTCCGTCAACACAGTTCTATTGGGAGACAAAAAAGTGATTGAAGACCTCGCATCCATGAATCACAACTTGACACGGTTGTATTTGCATTCAGCTGGACAATGGGATGATATATACAGTGATCGACAAAGGTTGCGAAAAGAAATATGTAAACTGATGCATGGTAGGGATGAAAACGGATCGGATCGGTGTTGATAATGGCTTCCTTATATCCTAATCCATTTTTTTATCGGATTCAGAGCGGATCAGATATTATACGAATTCGGATGCGAATACGGATCAGATATTATGATGAGAAACAATTCATTAACCAAAGTCATAAAGCGGCAATACAACACGAAATAATCACCATCAATCCACTACTTCGATTTAAGAGCTCACAAAATTAATACAAGTTCTCAGTATAAATTTAAGAGTATAAAACAAGTGTGTAAAAAATAAATATTCTTAATTTAGCAAAACTTTACCTTCACTCTTTGTCGTGTACTAGTCCTCCACTTTGGTAGATGATAATTCTTTTGTTTCCTGTAATTTCAATGTACCAGCCTATAGTTGACGAGCTTTGTTTATGGACTTTTAATATAATAATGCTTGTGTCATGGGTCAGGCTGACTTGTATTCTTGCCGCTTGGGCTCTTTAAAATATTTCAATTATTATAAGCGTCGCACGTTCAATTATCGGTTAATCCATATCAGTCGGATTTTACCAATTCCATATCCTACACCGCATCCGCATATAATCGGGTTCGGATTATTCGTATCCACATGGATATTAAAAACACTTCTCCATATCCATAAAATTCGTATTCAGAGCGGATCAGAGCAGAGAATTATCTATACCACTTGTGCTTTTGCATTGTAAGTGGTTGTAGGCCCGTGGATAATCATGCAGTGATTTTTGAAATCTAATTATAATACCGACTTTTCATGGCTTGGTGCCTGATTTCACTGGTTCTGAAGGGACTTTCTTTCTATTTTTGGGTGGGTGCCCTCGCATTTTCTTCACTCTAGGAGGCAATGGCTTTGGATTTGGAGATACTGGCCAGGCTTACTCGTGCTCCATGGGTTGCAACACATGCTGACTTGCCAAAATCTGCAAGTGTGTTGTCTCGTCTCAAAGTGTGTTAACGGAGTGAGCTACTGTGGTAGACGATGTTAGACAGAGGACGAAATCGAACCAAAATTGCAAATTCAATGACTAAACCGGCCTTTTTGGTAGTTGAGGGACGAACTTGAGTTTTGGACGAAAGTTCAAGGACGAATATGGCTATTTCGCCTTATTTTTATTCGACTTTACATTCCTGCAAAATGAATCCTTCAATTTTTTCCTATACTCCAACCAAACAACCTTTTCACTCAAAATTCCTATGTTTTACAATTCTTTATTTTACACATGCATCTCTATACTATTCTTACCTTTTTCCCCTATTCCTATGTTCTTTTAATTCTTGTATTTCAAAGGAGCCATAAACTACTTTAGCTCACTTATGTGATCTAAAATTTTGTGAGATGGCCTAAACTTTAGAGAACATTTTAGATTTTCTATTTGTAGCGTCTAAAGTTAGTGACAATGAGATCAAAACATGATCCAACTATCATTAGATTAATTATTGAATATATTTTTTATAATAAATTTATTTGGGGATATATATATATATATTGATAATATTTCTATAAATCTAGTTAAATTTAGGAAAATTTATAGACACAAAATCTAACATTGGTCGAATTCGACTTTAGAAAATGAGACGTGCAATGAAGCGAGAGAGTACACGACATTTTTGTTCAGTCTATCACAAAGAAATCCTAGTGAAACGATTTGAGGCAATGATTCAGCATTTGAAGCTGCAGCTGCCGTACCACCACCATCCAGCCATCATCCACCGCTGTCCGCTGGTGCCGTGGTGGATGTCACGTCACGCACGGCGTCTTCTTTTGCCCGCAGATAAGAACGGGCCCACCAAAGTGACGTGGTCTCCCGTCCCGTCTCCCACGGTTCTCTGCTCCCCCACCAAATCCGCGTGCGCATCACGCAGCTTCGTCTCCGTCCTCTCCGTCGGGGAACCGTCCACCACCAACCGATCTGTGCCGCCTATAAATCCAACCCACCCCGGCGGACCTCTTCCTCTTCCGTGGATAGATAGATAGAATCGCATGGTTGGGTTCCCTCTTCCTTCCCTGTTCGTTCCCTCGTCGGTGCCGTGGGGGTGGATGGGTAAGTGGCAGGTAAGGCGCAGTCGTTGGTTTCGATCTGACGCGTCTCTCTGTTTCTCGATTGGTTATTCCTAAGGTGTGACGGACTGGACTAGCCGGATGGATGGATTTCGTTTAGGTTGGATTGGATGGTTGGTTCTCCTCCCTTTGCTGCGTTTAGCTATTTTCTCTCGACCCCTCGTTGGGTCTCTGACTAATTACGATTTGCTGATTGATATGTATACTTAGGTTATTAATTAATTGTTATGCTGCTGTTGCGATCTGTTGATGTTTAGGGCTGTGCCGTTATTTTCATTCTGGTGGAGGATAAGGCGACTCGTTTGTGATCTGTGTTTGTTGGGTCAGATCTATTTGGTATCTGTTGATGTCTAGGGTTGTGTGGTTATTTTGATTCGATTGCTGTTCATTCTGGTGGAGGATAAGGCGACTCGGTTGTGATCTGTTTGGGTTGGGTCAGATCTATTTGATTGGTTAGCATGGATGTTTTTGATATGATCGGAACAAAAGATGGATTCAAGGGGATTTGGTTTTGATTCGTCGATGCTGTGTGATCTGTTCAGTCAAAGGTTGTTGCTTGGATGCTTCTATCTTCTTTAGGATTAGGTTGCTGATTTTGTGGAGAAAACCAGTGCCTGTTGGTTATATGAAACTACTGGACTGCTCAGAATTCTGCACTGTTTGCTCCTGATTGTAGTCGGAAGATTTTTTAGGTCAATTCGGATATTTTACAGAGCTATGATATGATTTAGTATGTTGTATTTTGGGGCAAGTTATATTAATCAGATGAGTGCTATCAGATTATTTGAAAGCCTTGCAACTAAAGGTCACATCATGAAGTTCTCGTGGGTTTAGTAGATAAGTTGCTTTCTTGGGAGCCAGAACAGTTCATTTAGAGTTGAGGGGCATGATCGTGGAGATGATTCTACAATTGTACTCTTCAGTGCCACTTTTTGATTAATTCAATTTGGTGGTTTCTTTTAAGAAGACATGAAGAGTTTGATTTCATATAAGGCTTACATCCTCAAGTTCATGTGGTTTTAAATAAGTTGCTTTCTTTGGGAGTGAAAACCATTTAGAGCTAATATAGACATGGTCATGGAGATGATTCTACAATTCTCTTCAATATCATTTTTGATCAATTCAATTTAGCGGTTCCTTTTAAGATTACTTGGATGCAGAGTTTGATTTGCTTCTCTAAGGTGTAATTTAATGCTAGGTTGTGGAACCAGGATTATAGAAGTGTGTCTGTTCGAAGCTTCATTTGAGTAAGATATATGGGGAATACTTCAGTTGTGGCTGCTTTGCTAAATTACTGTTGGCATTTGTTTCTCTGGTGGTATCATAAGGCCTTCTGTATAATTCCTGGACAAATGATTTACCATGGGTCTTCTATTACTCGGACATAGTTAGTATTGGACATGGCTTTTTGGCTTCTGTTACTGGATTATGCGTTCATTCAAGTGTTGTAGAGATCTTTTAGTTTTGTACTTCTGTTGGTTCAATAGTACTGTAATATATGTTGTACACAGGATGTATGATGGTGAAAAGTATTTTTTTTCCTGGAGCTGTAATTATTATATGATATGGATATTGGTATAGAAGTTGGCACAATCCTACTTATTATAAATGGCTTGTGACATGACTCTTTTATTATGGATCTGCTGAACTTTACAGTAACCACATGTCTATTGTTTCTTCTCATTCTAATCTCTTGCAGATCGTATTCTTGAATCCCATGCAAATACTACATTTATTTTGGTGCTGCACAAATTTTAATTTTATGTTTTATAGATCGGTGCAGTTTGTTTCCTATCGAAAATGTTTTCTTCGAGTTATTCTAGACTCCTATGCTTTTTAATACTAATTTGGGATCTTGTGATCTTTGAAGTGTTCTTTATTAAGTTCAACTACAATAACTG